AAAAAAAAAAAAAAAAAAAAAAAAAAACATCATCTGATTTTGATGTAATATTGAACAACATTGTAATCGAACATCGAACAAATTCATTAGCAAAATGATGTTGGCGGAGAAAAAAGCAGAACAGTGAGGAAAGTTTTCTTCATCATTTGCAAAATCTCCGATAACATTCATCAGAAATTTTTGTCAACAGATAGTGGCCAACTGAAGACGGCTAATAATTTTTACTTCTTTGATAACCAATCCAATAAGTTTGTCATTTCTTTCCATCTCTTTTTTTCTTGCTTTCAATAGACGTTACCACTTAATATTTAAACTTTCCCTCTTCGTTTCCAAAAAAAGAAAGAAACAAATAATTTACGAAGTCTGATTTTCCAAGAATTTTTTTTCCTACTCATGATCGATTGATCGCACAATTAGCGTGATAAAAAAATCTAAGTAACCCCTTATAATCCAAAAAGAAAAAATATATATTCATTTTTTGTGCTTCAAATATAAGTAGTAAAAATAAGTGAAAAAAATGAAAAAGAGCTTATCCTCAATTTTCCTCCTTCCCCCACCCCCCTAATCAAAACTATATACTTCAACCTGATAAGAAAGAAGAAAAATTTTTTTTTTCTAATCTTATTATTCCTCTCATATTGAGTTAATTTGCCTTTTGCGTTTAATGCTAAAAAAGAAAAAAAAATAATAGCTTTTTTTTGAGGAAAACAAGAATACAAACATTAATCAAGCAAAAGCGCTAAAATAAACAAAGATGACGAAAAATAATTGAAAGAATTGTAGCCTGCTACAGTAATCCAGAAATGAATTCATTGAATTCTAAAATCTTTCTATACTTTTCTTTCTTCCAATTTTTTGCTTTATTCTTTTTTTTCTTGTCTTATAATCAAAATTAGTAAGAAGATAAGAGCAAAAAGAGGAAGAATAAAAACAGGAAAAGAAAACAAGGCAAAAACCATGAAAAATAAAACAAACTTGAAATTGTCAAAAAAAAATTAGTCATAACGACGTAAATAATAGGTAATAGTAGTCATCGTGAGAAACAAAAAAGAAGATGACGACGACGAAGAAGAAGAAGAAGACGATGAATCAATTAGAATGAGCAGTGTAATGATGATACATACCTCATGACCTGCTGGAAGATTGCTGGTATTTTCAGGTAGCGGTACTGACTGCGGCTCATAAGGTGGCTGGTATTGAGAACTGCAAATACTCCGTTGAATATTTTTACAAGGAAAAAAAAGAATTTTTTTCCTCATCTGGACGACATAAAACCATTAGTGTAACCAATTAATATAAGCTGAGCAAATCGACAGAAGATCAACCTCATTGGTGTACCCATAGAAGGGCTAGTTGAAGTAGCTGTGGTACTTGGAGATACCGGTGGCTGTGAACTGCTCGCCCGTTCATCGCCAACAATATCCATTGGCATCTTACCTTTCAAACAGGTTACATACCGATGGCAAAAATTATCACATAATTCATGAACCTTAAATGAGGAGAAAATAAAATGCAATTGTAAAAAAACTGCTTTTTCTCTCATCAACTTTTTTCTTTAACATATCAATATAACATATTAGTACTAAGAGCAGAAAAAAATAACAGCAAAAAAGAAGAAATTTCTTGCTTTTTTTTTCATCATAACCCAGCTTTTTTCATGCACCGTAACTTACCCTTCCTCTAGATCATTCATTATTATTTCCACATATCAGCAAAAAGATTAAAAATTATTAAAAAAAGATTATAAGTTATCCCATTTATATTCCGATAATTTTTTTCCTTGCTAATTTTTTTTTCTAAGTCATGCAATATCTCAGGCAAAAAGCAATACTTGACTATTGCTGTCATACAGCTTACTTAGAAAGGCCAAAGCCATAAAGACATTTATCAAAAAAATCCTTTACTTTGCTTGCCTGTTTTTCTTTATTCTTGTTTTTCTTGAGATAAATTCAACAACAGCAAAAAAAGCAAAAAAAATGTTCTCAAGAAGTAATCTAGTTCTTCTTAAGAACATAGGCATATACCACCATACAAATATATATATGGGAAAAAAATAGAGTCTTGTTTTTCTTTACTCTTCTCTTTCTTTCTTCTTTTGAATCGCTTAAGAGATAAATTTTAATTGCGAATCATTTTCAAATTAATTTTGCATTTTTATTCACAAAGTGCAATATGAGAGTCATCGAAAACTATAAAAAGAACTAAAGAATGAAAGCAAAAGCAGACAGTAACAACAACAGAAACTGACGATTACTATTATTATGTTTTTTTTTGTATGTTTGCAATGCAAAAATCACAATTTTCATTACCATATTCTCGACTGACAAACACAGACAGTAAATCTGATTATTGTTAGGCCGTCATAAATTTTATAGCAGAAGAAACCCTGAATCCTTTTTCCCCTTTCATCCTGATCACAGCTGCCCCACCAACTTCTGACTCTTTCGACCCTTGTCTACCCTTCTTCGCCCCTCTCTCCAGGCTACCTTACCAGCATTCTACAGTGCAGAGCTAAAGTCAGCTGCTTCTCCCTAACAAGCAACTTCTGTGACCCGCTTACTAAGCAAACTTTTTTTCTTTCAAAAGAATTGCCCTAAAAATCAACG